ACGGTTGATTTTAAATTAAAAGCCATCTAGGATTAAGTGTTGGAATGAACTGTCCAAATTTAACCTTCTAAACAACGTAGTTTTGATTGATGAATTGTTCATAGACGTAGGATGAAAATAATGGCTAAGATGAGAGGCATCAGAAGGGGCAGCGCAAAAGGCACATTAGGACACCCCATGCACGACTTTTTTGACATATCCTGATGAAGCTGCTATACATAGATTTTATATTATGGAATAGAACTTTACGTGGACATGTGCCGTGCAGGTTAGAATGAGGCTTATAAATGGTCTGAACAAAGTTTTTTTTTTTTTTTTTTTATATTCAAATTTACCATCAACAATTTTGTGAGCTTGTATTTAATAAGAATATGAGGTGGGATTGAAATGAAAACACAACTTTAGGCCACTATTTCATCCAAACTTCAATCATACAAATCTGAGTTTTTCTTCTTTAAAACTAATCCTAAATTCTCATCAAAGCAACAATTTATCTAATATCATAACTAAAATAGGACACACCAAAAAGTGAAGAACCAACTTAAATTACCTTCCCTTATTAGAACTAGAAGTTCAAAGCCAATGAAAAGGACAATTTAAATTTGGCATTGCCGCTGAAGGTGGGTGTTAAAAGTAGGGCAATTTGAGTGGTGGGTTGAAGAAAAGTGATGGTTCCAATAAGTGGTCATTGCTCACCTCATTGCCCACTTTTTGAAGTGACAAAGGAGCACTCCCAAGTGCTGCAAAAGATTCCACGTATTTTGCATCTACAAACTTCATCTGTCATCTGCTACGTTATAATGCCCTTTGCTTTGTGGAATGGAATTAAATAATTTTTTTAAAAAAAATGCAGGATGCCATATCTAACTTATTAAACAATAATTAAAAATGTAATAAAATATTTTGTCTGATTGCATGACTAACACAGAATGTATTTAAATACAGAATGCTACCTCTAACTAGTGTTCTCCAAATTCTTGGAAACTCTAGCAGTTTTCTGGCTCATCACGAGAGTGGAGCAAACTATTTATATTTTATGAATATCTATAAAATCTATATGCTTGAATTTATGTATGATAATTTTTATTGCCTCTTTAAAATTTTGAATTTTGGTAGTATTATATCAGTCTCGTTCGCATAAATTTTGAATAAAATTTTATTTTTTATTTATCGGAATAAAATATACAACAAACTAGCCATTCACATGACATAAATTGTGCTACTCATTAATCAATATCTGTGCATACGTGGAAAACGTGTAGTTGTATCAGTAAATTGTTGAGACATTTTATGGCTTGTAACATTTTTTATAAACAGAATGCTTATTATCATGAAACTTTTTGAGATGAGTCTAAAATTAGTCTCTTCTCTTAAAAAGTCCTTTCTTCTCTAATAAAGACATAAAACAATATTATTCATACGAAAACAAATGCTAAATAAAGTTTTGATAATTGAAATAATTCACTAGCCACATTCCTCTTTTTACCCTTTTTTTTTCTCCTTTTGAGAATTGCACTCCTCTTTTTTCATAATCTTTTTTTAACTAACAGAATCATTTAATGACCTTATGACTTAATGACATGAAAACTTACATAAGATCACGAATTAAATCTGACTTGTAAGTTGTAAGCTTGCGCCATTAATACCTACCCACTCTAAATTAAAAAATAACTGAATCAGGTTTGTGTGAAAAGAAACTATTTTCTCATATTCTAAATGTGCTTTGCACCAATTTTAACAAGTTCTTATCCTGCATTTTTACTAATTTCAAGGGCAAGCAGTGTACTTAAGATGCATACTTTAATGCCCCCACCCGCGCCCCAAAAAAAAAAAAAAAATCTAAAAGTGAAGTCCCAGTCCAAGTCCTGTCCTTGATCTGTGTCAACCGTCTACCAAAACTATTCACTAATTTTCTTTGATTTGATTTGCATATTTTTCATCGTTAATTCATAATGTAATACTCACTTTTTTTTTTTTTCAAATCAACGAACCTCATGGTATTAAGTTTGTCCTTGGTCTGAGTTATTGTTCGTGCTGCAAAAAGCATTATGTCGGATCTATAATTATGTTGCCTGCCAAACTTGACCCCTTGTATAACATGATCGAACCATTTGAGTGACTTCTGAGATCAGCTTATAATCATTAAGTCACGACCTTCTCATCACTCAACATGACCATGTGCATTTCACGGTAATATAAATAAAACCAAATTCCATTACCTTGCTTATCACACACTATAAAAGCATATGCTAGTTTTACTTACTCCATAAGCCTTTATATTAAATCCTCAGGATAGAGAAATACCACCCTACTACAAAAATGCTAGACATTCTTGAGGACTTTGAGGCCTCAGAGCCTGGGAAATTAATAGTGGAGATTACCAAGAAAAGTGTTGTAAAGGCTATGAATCATCCGCCGGCATCATTTTCAATCACTCTCTCAAATCTTGATCTTCTTTCTGGTCGTTTTCCTGTGACATACTTGTATTTCTTTCGCAGACCCAAACTATTAGTTCGTGACTTTGGAGCACTTATTGAGTCTCTCAAGAGCTCTCTAGCTCAAACACTTGATTGCTACTATCCCTTTGCAGGCCAAATTGTTCAGAACCCCAAAACTGGTGAGCCTGAAATCATCTGTGACAACAATGGAGCTCTAATCGTTGAAGCTCACGCCAATCTCCCAATGAAGGAACTAAATTTCCATAATCTCAATGAAACCATTCAAGGTAAGCTAGTCTCTATCCAACCAGGCTTCCCTCTGCAAACTCAGATAACAGATTACACTTGTGGAAGCATCTCTATCGCTTTCACTTTTGACCATGCATTAGGTGATGCAAGTTCCTTTGGTAAATTCATTGCCTCATGGTTTGAAAGAGCGCAAAATAAGCCCCTTTCAATTCTCCCAGACCATACTAGACACCTTCAAGCTCGTTTTCCTCCCAAATATCACCCATCATTGGACCAAACTTTCATCAAGTGCACTATAGAAGAGATACAGAACATGCCAACGAACAACATAACGCTTAAGCGTCTTTATCACATCAATGCATCAAGTATTGATATGCTCCAGAGACTGGCATCACGTGGTGGCACCAAAAGAACAAAGATTGAGGCTTTCTCTAGCTATGTATGGAAGATAATGATTAGAACCATTGATCAGAGGTACGAGAAATGCAAGATGGGTTGGTTAGTGGATGGAAGAGAAAAGATAGGAGGAAAAGGTAGCAGGAATTGTATGTCAAATTACATAGGCAATGTCTTATCACTGGCTTTTGGGGAGGCAAGGATTCAAGAGTTGAAGGAAGCTTCAATCTCAGAAACTGCCAAGAGAGTGCATGAGGCTATTACAGAGGTGAACAATGAGGCTCATTTTTTGGATTTGATTGATTGGGTTGAGTGCCAAAGGCCTGGCTTGATGCTAGCAAAGGCAGTGTTGGGTCAGGAAGGACCAGTCCTGGTTGTGTCCTCAGGAAGAAGGTTTCCAGTAACTGAAGTGGACTTTGGGTTTGGGAGTCCCGTGTTAGGGACAGTCTATACCTCTGTTGAAAGGGTCGGGGTAGGTTATATGAACCAGAGGCAAAGTGGTAGCAGTGATGGCTCATGGACTGTCTCTGCTATCTTGTGGCCAGAGCTAGCGGCTGCACTTGAGGATGACCCTATTTTCCAGCCCATGACTGCTTCTCATCTTCAACTTTAGTGCAGTGCAAAGTCCAGCTCTCTTCTCTATCCTGCAGGTTAAAATTAACACAAATAATATTAAACACACACACACACACACACACATGAAGTTCTGCCATGCCCATCATAATCAACGTGTATCTTTTCATTGTATTTGATGTTTGCGACAATTTGATAAGAGCCATATGTTTGCTCTCCAAACGGTGCGATGGGATGAGGAAGTTATAAGCAATAAGCATAACTCAACGCATGACCACCAAAATGAAGATTCAACAAAAAAAGTTGTGACATATTTTTCAGGGAACAGTAAATAATACAAATTGCAGATGTTAAATGTTATTTAATGTCATGTACTAGGCCTTAGTTACTTGGACTCTGGACTTGGGATGAATTTTAAGTTATCATTAAAACAAGTTAGCATGTTCAATTTTTTCGCTTCAAAATCTCAATACAATAAATGACAAACAACCCCGAGATTGACAGAGACTGAGCAACAGCAAGTGGTTCAAGAAGTTTGACACCTGATTTCCTTAAGTAAATCTCATTAGAGTCTTGCAAATGAAGAAAACTGCAGCTGGGAGAGCTTAGCACAAATGTAGTCTAACCCAACTCAATCCGACTTAAGGTCCAATGTAGCTTTCAAAAACCAAATGGCATTGAAGCAACATAAATAAAGAAATAAAATAAAACCAAAATTTTCCTTTGCACTGGTTGGATGTACCAAATTTGAGAGCATCCTTTTAAAATTTTCTTTTTTGAAAAACACAAGGGAAATTCTTAAAAAAGCTTGACAACCTACCTAGTTGCCTTTGTCGTCAATTGCTAATTAAATCTGAATATCATCGCATCACATCCTGATTGTAATACATACTTCGATTTGTTTGCATATCCGAGGTTGCACTTCACTTTTTTTCTTGGAGCTGTTATCCTAAAAGGACTAAGCTGAGGATGATGAAATTTGGGAAACGAAAAGTCATTGGTCAACGTGCATATTTAATGACCTCACATATCATTCCTTGGTGCCACATCCAAATGCCACAATCTGAACAGGAAAAAGGAATATGAAAAGTATCATAGAACATGAATATTCCAAGGGTGGAAGAGAGGTTAGCCCACATTTCACAGATTTAAGCAAGAAAATAGGTCCATTTTTGGCATCTTCAAGTCTCCAATGCAATATCTAATGGTGGATTCAGCTCATTTGATCTCTATGAAGTCTTTCAGCACCAACTGTAATCGACAGAGGTTCCTGTGTGAGGTAAAGAATTCCATCATGAGACTCGCGTAAGACAGAAGTTAGTAAAATTGAAGAAGACATCATGAGACACTTAACAACATCGACAAGCCTTATTCCACTAAATAAGATTGGCTACATGAATTGTGCAACATCATTATACTCTATCACATCATGAGAATAACGACAAGCCTTATCTCAGTAGATGGGATACTACATGGATTGCGTGACATTATTATGCTCTCCCGCATCTCATGATGCTCACTGGACAAAAATTAGTAAAAATGACAGAGTCGTCCTTTTGATACTTGACCATGTCACTTGTTTCAGAGATGCCTGCACGCAAGAAGTAAAATCACGGCAATAAATCTACAAACCACAGAAAAACGAACATAATCCAATCAAGGACCAACAGAAGACCACAACCTGGTAGATGGTTAAGGAGCAAGAAAATCATTGCTGTGGGGCAGTCCTTGTACACTCGAGAATTTAATTTCCCTGATTTTCAAACACAAGCAATGGATCACTAAAAAAATAGAAAATGTATAATATAACAGGAATCTTTTTTTTTACCTTAAGGAAGGTACTAGACAATAGACAATAAGCAGGATCATGTTAATTATTTCAAATTTTCAATACACATCATATATTTTCAACAATATTAGACTACTCAGCATAACACAGCCGCATGACTTCTATTCTAGATCAACAATAACGTGACATAATTGGGTATAGTCAGCTAAACCAACCATTTAGAAACAAAGAAGATCAAATTATGTGTGAATTGCCTTTAAAACAACTAGATTGAGCTTTGTAAACCTATCCCGTATTTGAATTAATTTTGACTTGAAATATTTGGTCTAGCCTTTTTTGAAAAAATAGAAAAGGTTAAATTATTTTTTAAAAAGGAAAATAGAAAAAAAAGAGATGTGTAAAATAATTCTTGCTTATCAAATATTAGATAACATATTTGTCTGCTTCAACAACAAATCAGCATAGTGATGAAGACCAAGCCAATCAGTTTTGTAACATAATTACCAACACACAAATATATATTCTAAAGTAAAAGTTGATCTACCATTCAGAGAACATGACTGTGAATACATTTAACCCCTGAAAGGAGCACTGCACCGTATGAAAATATTTGTGAAAAAAGGAGCACTGCACCATATGAAATTTTTTGTGGAAAAAAATGCTTATGAAGGTTAGTAACCATTGTCCTAGCATAACCTTCAACAATCAATTTATTCAAGCCATAAACAAAAGACATTAAAAACACAATCAGAGCAAAAAAACAATAGTATATTTTTATCTTGTATGACCAACCTCTTAAGCTCCAAGTTCATTCTTCGATTGGGAATCTGGGGAAAGAGCATGCTGCCTTAGTTGTTGCCTTTAATCCACATGTTGGATATCAAGCATATGAAACCTTCATCTTCAGGAAATGCTGAGGCTGAGCATAATTGTGACAGCATCAATCCCAAGATTCATGGTATCAACCAAATCAGAGAAGTTTACTAATTACTCTTGAAAGCTAAGTGCTGAAGGAGGATGCAACCCATGAACCAACGTCGTATATGTAATTTCATCTAGTGATACTCCACCACCAGACATGTGATCACACAGTTGAAAGGCTTCTTGTAGTTTCCTTTCCTTGCAATGCCCATTTACCAATGCATTACAAGTGACAGTATCTGGTGTTATACCATTTACTATCATCTTACATAAAATCTCATTTGCTTCTTTCATATAGCCCAATTTGCTATACCCATCAATTATAACAGTGTATGTAATTTTATTGGGATGTATATTGTTTGCAGACATTTCAAGCAAGACACTTATCGCTCTATCCATCTGGCCAAGCTTACAGTAACCCCCAATAAGTGCAGTATAACATACAACGTCTGGTAACAAGCCTACTTTTCTCATTTCTTCAAAAATATCTTTTGCCTCATCAACACGGCCAATATTGCTCATTCCATGTATTAGAGAAGAAAATGTGGCACATGTTGGTGGAATACCCCTACTTTTCATGGCATCACGAAGTTTGAAGGCTTCTATCACATTACCAATTCGACAATAGGCTGATATAAGTATGTTATAAACAACAGAATTTAGTTCTACTATCCTATTATTAACTAACTCATTGAATAAGCTTATAGCGTCATCAAGTCTGTCAAACTTACAATATCCTTTAATGATCAATGCATATGTATAGACATTTGGAAGCAAGCCCTCTTGCTGGCCTTCATGCAAAAGCTTACTAGCATCATCCATTTTACCCATATCAACTAAACTCTTCATTATACAATTGTAGGTTTGTATATCTGGTTGGATCCCTTGCTTAGCCATCTCTTTCTTAAGCTTGAAACCTTGTTCAACCATACCGCTTTTGCAACAGCCAAGAATGAGTATGTTGTATGAGATCCTGTCCAATACCAAACCCCTCTCAAGCATCTTTTGGAGTATTGTGTCAACCCTCTGAAAGTTCCCTTGTTCACAAAGTCCATGAAGAAGAGCATTTGAGGTAATAGTATTGGCTGCAAAGCCTTTATCTGCAAGGCTAAACCAAAGCTCAATAGCCTCTGAATGTTTTCTACACTTACAAAGGCCGTGGACTAATGCGGTAAGCAAGTTATCACTAGGCTTGATATTTTTCAATAACAACTCTCTAACAAATCGAAGGGCAGAATCAAACTTTGCTTTCTTACATAGAGAATGAATAACAGAAAAACATGCATCCAGGTTAATAGATAACCCACTGGATAATATCTCCTCTAATATTTTCTCAGCTTGCTCTATTTTATTAGTTCTGCAAAAACCTTGTAAAAGAGTATTAAGAGCAACAGAATTGGGTTTTATGCCCTTAGATAACATGTTATCATTGATCCTCAGTGCTTCACTCATATTTCCCCTCCTACAGCATCCATCAATCAGCGTGTTATAAACAAACTCGTTGGCAGTAAAGCCACTGTCCGACATTTCCACCAAAATGCAATTTGCTTCATCATATTTCTCCGATTTCACCAAAGCATTGATAAGCACGCTATAGGTTATAAGACTTGGATTCACATTACTTTTTACCATCCTTTCTTTAAATCGAAATGCCTCTTCTAATCTAGCACTCTTGCAGAGCCCATCAATCATGTTATTGTAGGTAACAACATTAGGTGAAACACCAACCTCCTCCATTTTCAAAAAAAACTAATTGCATCCTCCGCCCTGCCTCCTTTGAAAAATGCATTGATTGCAGTAGTGCAGGTGTAAACATCCGGTAAAACAAGTTGACAATAAGCATCAAACACTTCATAACACTTTTGAAGTTCATTAGCCTTCAATAATGAGTTCAACAACAAGTTGCAAATTTTCTGAGATGGAAACGTCCCCTTTCTCCAAAATAAGTAAAATATATCAATAGCAGCATGTAGACCCGAATCCTTGAATCGGGTGCAGAAAACATGAATCAACAAATCCAATCCATCATGATTTTTTTCCGTGACGGTATTTAACTCCAACATTGAAGCAGCTATTTCAATGTGCCTATCGTAGTCACCAAACAAAGCAGGCAACTCCCCATCAATCAGACGGATTAAAAGCAACCTTGCAGGTGATAAAAGGGTCGAAGATAGAAGCAAACGAACCAAAAGGCAGTACGACCGAACCGTGAATCGAAACTTGAAAGAATCAGCAGCGAAATGAAAGAAGAGAAGAGTTGTTTTGAGGTTCACATTGGATTTAATAGTAAAGAATACGTGATCAAATTCAAGAGGCGACAAGCGGGTTATCAAAGCTTGACAGGTAGCAGAATCCAGAACCTTGCTGGAGAGAATAGAATGCACCAAATCAAGCAGGCTCTGCTCAGAAGAAGGTAATGATTGACTCTGAGGCTTTGGAGGTGGAGATTGAGGAGGGCTAAAGTGGGTTGATGTCACCCAGGTCAAGGAACGCGAGATGCGTGCCGAGAAAGGAGAAGGCATAGCTCTTGAAAGCCTTCTCAAATCCATTGAACAAAGCATTGGTTGGAATTTGTGGGTCTTCGAAATGCACTCTGAGTGGTTTTATAATTATAATGAAGCTGAAGCGGAAGCGGAAGCCATGATCTGGGTAGCTTCGCCTCACAAGATAGGAAGTGACAGAGCCTCTCTTGCCATGGGGATGGAGAGCGACGAAGGAGGAGAAAATGGGCGTTGATGTTTTGCTACTGGGCACATGAGACGTGACTCTAGAGGTGGGCTTGAGACAGAAAACTCCCACTGCGCATAACCTTTTTTTGGCATTGAAACTTGGACTTCCTCAAAATGGGCGAATATTTACTGTTTGACAGAAACATGGGAGGTCACATTTTCTCTGGGCCAGAAGGGAGAAACCCAGAATTGATATGCAAATTTGGTTGAGCGAGGCAATTGGCGTGAAATTCGAATCAGTTCCACTTTTTGGTGCACGTTTATGCGTCAAGTTTAATCCATTTATTTAGTGAAAATATATCAAACATTTTTATTACAGTCAAAATTAATTATAAATTTAAAATTATAATTTAAAAAAATATTCAACATCTATTGTACTTGTCAACATTAAATATAAATTTAAAATCATGATTGTTTTAAAAATATTTAAACACTTTTATATATGTTAAAATTAATTATCAACTCAAAATCATAATTTATAAAATAAAGTATGTGTATTTTGTGGATTAATTTTTTTAAAATATATAATTAAAAAAAGCTGATATAACAAAAATAATGAAGGATATATATATTTAAATTGGAAGAGTGGAGGCGGAGGGATGGGTCCCTGCCCCTTCCAGTTTTGTAAATTGTGATAGCGGTGGTGGTGTGGCTGCGTCCGCGCCTCTGCCTTTACGGGAATGTTTGGATAGATCCAGCACGAAAAATATTTCAATATTGTTAATGTGAGGTTATGTTTAAGAGTATATATCATAGAATGCAAAAGTACGGTCATTAGTGAAATAGAATAGGGTGGAGTAAGACAGGGTAAAATGGAATGTAACATTATATTGTTTGAGAGTTTTATCTGAGGAATAGATGATTTTATTTAATCATTATTTAAGTATAATTATAAAATTAATATATTTAAATTAGATATAACTATATTTTTTAGTTTTAGGGTTGGAGGAATTGAAAAAGTGAGAAGAATGGGATAATTTTATAATAATGTTAACTATTCCATCCTCAACCCTCAAATTGAGGGTTAGAAAAAAATAAGTTTAAGATGGTTAGAAATAACTTAAAAGATTATCTCAAGTCATTTCATCTTTAAAAAAAAAATCTCTCAAACAATTGTCTTAAATTTTTAATCATCTCACTCTATTTCATTTCATCATAAGAAGAAAAAAATATTCACAAACAGTACCTAAAAAAACGCATTTATGGGGTTCCTTCAAGGGTCCAATTATAACATAATTGTATAGTAGCATGGAAGCATACCTTTCAAGAATAAAATATTCAATAACCAATTGATTTGATTCTAATAGAAGGTGTTAATCTCTCAATGATAAATTAAAATTTAAATATTTATTCAAAGATATATTTATATTTAGTGTCCACTTCTATTTTTAAATATAATTGCTTCCAGAATATTCAATGGCGAAGTCACATGTATTTGAGGGGCATACGTTCCCCTCACTTGGGAAGAATGACATGTATAGGTATGAATTTTCATATTTTGCAATTTGTGCCCCTCTTTCTTATATTTTGCACCTTGTATTTTAATATTTTAAATATTAAACTTATTTCAATCTTATTTTTTAACTTAGATCTAAATTTTAATTTTTAACCTAAAGCATAGTACATATTAGCTTATAATTTCATTATGCCTAGGTATTAATGTTATTTATTAATCCTTTACAAATAAAAAAAAATTAATTCAACTAAATTAGAGTTCCGTCATCCATGTCTCAAATATTAGTCAAGGACTAGTAAAAAAAAAGACAAATGAAAATTTAAAAGCCAAGTAAACTCAATGAATTTTTTTTATTATATTTCTACCCTAATAAGACTGCAATTAAAAGTTGAATTAAGAATTAAGGATAAAAAAAAGAGAAATAGTGAATTAAAAAAAAAAAAAAAACCTTGTGCCAAGCATCCTAACCCAGCCGCTGCCTTCTTCACCCAGGATCCTAACTTCACGGTCGAGAATGTCAATTTGAAGAAAAAACAAATTATTCGATGTAAAGGAAGGGGGTTATTGCAACTGATTGCCATAATACCATTTTGCCTTTTCTTTTCTTTTCTTTTCTTTTCTTTTTTGACATGAGATGAACGAATAAGGGCATGTTTGATTATCCAAAATTCTGCAGAAAAATAAATATTTACAAAGTTCTTTAATAAAAATAATCCAACGTTACTTGTTTGGAATGGACTTTCTTGCTTGATTTTACCTTTTCAAATGTATGTTTGATTATCCAAAATTCTGCAGAAAAATATTCTAATATGTTTAAATAATAGTTTATTAAGAGGACTCTTGACTTATGAGAGTCATAGCCAAACATACACTAAAGCTTTCACGGTTCAATGTATTTTTTTTTACGACGAATATCAACATCTAAATGCTCAAAATCTTAAAAAAAAAAAGTAAACTAATTGGTAAATTATATATCTATATATATATATATATATAATGGATTCGTACAGGTATTTAAAAACAATACCAATTCCATGTGTCAAAATACTTTTTATTAAACGAAACAAAGAGCAGAATTTGAGATCTTCAATTAAATTGATTCACTGGAATTATATCATGTGAAACGTTTTATTGGTCCTCATTATAATATCATTTTATGACCAAGCAAGAAGGTCCCCATGATAAAATACTCTCTTTACACAGCTTGTAAAGAGTTTTTTAATAACTAGCACTAACATTTTTTTTTTTTTCAAATTCCCTTTGTTCTGATATTTTCCAAAATACTGACTCTGTATTATACATGAATTTTATTGAAGGTGGTTTTGGAAAAAATTAAGAGTTTTCCACAAATTTACAAATATTAATTAATTTTAAATGAATTTCCTAATCTAATTGCCAACAAGTTCATATAATAAGGAGTAAGTTTAATTTCATTTATTGATCTTAAATCATATTGAACAATTATCAATAATCATAACAACCATCCATTAACCTAACTGTAACATCCCAATTTAAATTTTAATAGTTAATTTGAGTTAATAAAAATTTTAAAAAATATTTAGAAGTAAGAAAATTAGTAGAAAATGATTATTAAACCTAACTTAGGATATAATTTTAAATTAAATTTTTTAAAAAAATTAAAATTAAATTAATTAATTAATTAAAAAATATATTATTAAATTATTATTATTATTATAAAAAAAGAGAAAGGTATGAATAAAAAAAAAGGAGAAGAAGAAGTAAACTTTCGGTGCTCTCCCGGCAATGATTATGTTTATATAATAAAAAAGAAGAAGAGAGAGGAATGAGTAAATAAAAAAAAAAGTGAGACCCGTAATATTTTTTTTAAAAAACCCATCCCTCCTTCTTCGTTTCTTCATTTCTCCTTCCTTTTTCATTTCTCTTCGTGCGCGAACAGAGGGGGCGACGGTGCGCAAGTTCGCCGGTGCTGGGTTTTAAAGTAAGAGTTTTTAATAAGATATTTAGGGTGTGATTTCAAGTTTTTTAAGATTAAGTTTGTGTTCTAAAAATTTTTCTTAATGGTCCTTCCTCTTTGGTTTTTGATTTTATAGTGGTAGAAAAGTTAGGATCTGGAAGAGGGATGAATTTATGTTGAATAAATATGGTTTTTGAGATTATTAGTAGTATAATAAATATTCTAGAGTATAAATTTGTTAGCGATCTTTGAATTTGTGGCTTATGGATCAAATTCTAAACTAGATCTGAAAATATATGTTGATTTATTGAGGTTTAGATGATTATTTGGGATGATAAATGAATTATTATGGCTCTAGGATTATGATTCTAAACTAGAGACTCAATTTTTAATTTTTGAGTATTTTAGGTATGAATTTATGAAATAAAATGAAAATTTTGATAATAGAAATTAGTTTAGAAATTGATTTTTAGATTATTAATGTTTATTGATAATTAAAAGAGGAGTTAAAAATTTTACTTAATAGTGTTGACTCTAGATTTGTATTAAGATTGAGATTAGAAATTATGTTATATTTTTAATTCTATTATTAGAATTATTTTATTAGTTTCAAAAATTAAAACTAATATTTATAAATAATATGTTATTTGTAGATTGTATTATTGGTGAAGATTGTGGTAGGACAGAAATTATAAGAAATGATTTATTAAAAAAGTCACGAGGTAACCATGCTTTTAAATTATGATTAGTGTTACTTCATGTTAATTGGGTGGTTATTGAGAAAATTATAAATTTTGTAATATTGTATAATTGTGCAATATCATTATGAATTTGTTTGATTATTGTGGGAGTGTTGGAAGACTTGCTATTGTTGTTGTATTTATGTGCCACGTGGTACGCCCCTATTGGAGCTCAATAGGTGGTTTGTAAGGGCTTGGGCTAATCTACCTTTGGCCGGATAATTTAACACCGAGTGAGGGCTACGGCTCGAGGTTAATAGAGGGATATAAAGATGGTTGTTTGTGTGTATTATAATATTTCTTATATTTTGTTGGAATTATATTATTTTTAATTCTCACTTAGTAAGCACACACTTAACTATTTGTATACACTATCATAAATTGGCTTTGGTTACTGAGACTTTTGAGTCTCATTATGTGGTTAACAATTTTCAGGAGAAGAGCCACGAGTGACACGTGGAGGAGTCCCAGAGGCTTAGTGGCATAGATCCACTGTCTTTTTTGGGTATTTGATTTATGATTTATAATGTGTTATATTGTCAATATTAGGGCTTTTTGTTTATTGACAATTATATGAATATATAAATGTAATCATGCCTTTCAAACTATTTATATTTTTGGTACACTTTGGATGACTGTAATTTTAATATTTGATTTATTTTAGATTTGTTAAAATGACATGATTATGAGGCCAAATAATTGGCTTGTTTTGAAAATTGACTAAATTATTTAGTTTACTTGTTGGGAGTACAAGGATGAACAAATGTGATTTAGTCTAATGGCATGTGGGAGGTAAAAAATTTAACTGAAATGCTATATTGTGCGAGTTAAAGTCAATTATAAAATATTTTTATATTAAAATTATTGATATAAAATGTGTTGGATGATTGTAACCCAACTATGATTGAGTTAAATTATTAAAAAAAATTGATGTATTACACTAACCATTAAAATTTAAGGTATAATACTCGTAATAAAATTGATGTGGATGATACTTTTAAAACATGTGTCTTGGTCAACATTGACTCGTGAGGTCACAATTAGTCAGCTCCAGTAACCTTTGCCACAGTATAAACTATTTTGGTTGAAATATACTACTCTATATATTTTAGATTATAAAACAATTGAAGATAAGATTATATATATCAATAAAATATAATAATAATATTTTATAAACTTATTCTATTAAAATAAAATTATAAACTTTTAAAAATATTCCCACACACTTAATTCTTATTCCCTCACTACCAAAATATAATACATCTTTTAAAAATTTTATTGGTTTCAAAATACAAAGTACTCCCTCTGTTTCAAATTATAAAATTTTTTTAAATAAAATTTTATATATTAATAAATCTTATTGAATACATTCAATAACCCTATATTTTCAAAATAAAAATATAAAATTTTAAAAATACTCATCATTTAATATATAAAAAAGAAAAAATACGAAAATTAATTATAGAGAGAGGAAGGATAATAATAAAATTAGTGCATTTAATAAAATTTTAATTTATTCAAAGTCTCTTGTATTATAAGGTAAAGAAACTCTTTCAAAAGTATTCTATACTTTAGGATGGAGGTAGTATCAAATAATTTTTATAATTGTCACTTCAACGATACCCATATTTCATATATTCCTCTTTTTAAAAAAAGGGTATGTTAAAATTTTAATTGTTATAATCAATACATTTATATAGAGTATTCAATAAGAAAATAATTAAAAAAATAAATATTTTTTAAAAAATTAAGATTTTAACTAATATTTTTTTAAATCATGAATTAGTTATTAATATCTTGTATTATGATTTAGAGGGAATACACTATAATATCATTTTAATTTTTCCTTCACTTAAGGGTAATATTAAACAATGATCATTGATGAAACCTTACTTTTCTCAAATTATTTTATGTTACAGGGTAATAAAATTTTTTCAAAGTTATCTTATAATTTTGGATGAATGGAGTATTATTTAAACAAATTAACTGGACTTGTGTTTATAAATCAAACCTAAAAATAAAATAAATTCTTAACATTTTATGGTGTGACGAGACCAGAAAGCAAAGAAAAACGTAATCTTTAATTCCTATAGTTTTATCAAATTTTGCTTTTAATTTATGTAGTTTTTTCTAGTATTTTTTAGTTCCTATAAGGACTAAAATAACTGAAAAGTAAAAATTATAGGGACTTAAAAAATAAAGATCGCGTCATTCTTTTTAAAACTATAGAAACTGAAAATACTAAAAAAAATTATAGGGATTAAAAGCAAAATCTAATGAAACTATAAAGATTAAAGATTACGTTTTCCATAAACAAAAATACGAAGGTAAAATTACAATTAGGGACCCTAAGGCTATTGGTTGCAATTAAGAACTCTAAACTACTGAAATCTCAATAATAGATTATGATCTTAAATTAAAAAATGCAAATAGTCTAAAATGTTCCTCGAAAGTGATTTTAATAAATTTCTAAATGACTAATATATAATCACAAGTATTTTAGAAAGTTTTAAAAGTAAATTTTAACTTTATATTATGAAACAATTTATTCTCAATTATTACTTTTTGATTTTTTAATTGAGATTAATAATATTCTCATCCCATGATAGTAATTATACTAATGTCATTTCTTTATTTTAAAAGTGACCTACCTATATATTAATAAGTATAAAAATTTATAAGTGATTGAATTCATATTTAACAGTGACTTTAATAAATTTTTAAGTGACTATCATATATTCACAAATATTCTTAAAAAAGTTTTAAAAATAAATAGTTTTATTAAAAAATAATCCATTCTCACCTATTATCTCTTGATTTTTTAATTAAAATTAATAATATTTTTATCTCATCATAATAATTTTAATAATATTATTTATTTATTTTTAAATGGAGGATAACTTTATAAATTTATATATATTTTTAATTTTAATTTTTAATAAGGATAAGAGTTATTTTAATAATGTAGTGTGGGGCGTAAAAGAGACGGGGGCGGTCATCTCGGCCCATGTTATAAACGAGGGAGTCGCTAACTCTCCAGTCACCAGTCGCCACTCATCGAAGCAAACTCCATCGGAAGGGGCGAGAGCAGCGGTGCCGTCGGGGGAATCTGGTGGCGATGGCGGGGCAATCTCGGAAGTGGATGATTCTGGTGGCTACAATATGGATTCAGGCGTTCACCGGCACGAATTTCGATTTCTCGGAGTACTCTTCGTTGCTGAAGTCCACCCTCGGCATCTCTCAGGTTCAATTGAATTATCTCGCCACCGCGAACGACATGGGGAAATTGTTCGGATGGTCGTCAGGGTTGGCTCTCGCCCATTTGCCGTTGTGGATTGTGATGTTCATAGCGGCGTTCATGGGCTTCGTCGGCTACGGCCTCCAATGGCTCCTCATCAAGAACATCATCTCTTTGCCTTATTTCGTGGTACCGCTCTTTCTTGACCTCCATACCTCGTCCCCGATCTAATTTTATATTCTTTAATTTGCTTTCATTGCTTGAGTTATCGCTAGTAATTTTGAGGAATTTAAAGTTCGTAACATTATGTTAAAAATATCACTTAGTTAAAAGTATTTGGTGAACTGCATCTCTTAATATTTCATCCATCGCAATAATAGGTATGTGGACAGGACTTCAGTTCACTTTCACTGATTGCTAACCTTGAATTGAAGCTTCTTTTGTTTCTCTTTAGCAAGTGGCCTGCGCAAAACTGATTTGCCTTTTCATTTCTAAAATGAATCATCTTGTATATTTTTGGCACCTTCGCTGGGGGTGAGCAAAACCGAACCGAAACCGAAAATCAAATCGAATTGAATTTTGTCTATTTAATTCGGTCTATTTAATTTTTCGGTTCGATTCAGTTTTTTTATTTTAATTATTTCGATTGATCGGTTCAATTCGGTTAGTAAAATTTAAAATCGAATAGACCGAACCGATCTAATTACATATAATTTATTAATTTATAAATTATATTTAATTTATAAATTATTTTATTTTTATTTTTTATTTTAATAAAGAATAAAAAATAATAACATCACTTAAAACTCCATTTCAATCAGTCACTCTCATCAGTAGGTATTGTGATTGAATTATGAGGCTATTATTTGATCATCGGGTGTTTATTTATGGTTGTTTATTTGATTATCTATGACTTTATAATATTTGGGCTTTATGTTATATGGATATAATTAGAATGAGCTCATATTGAAAAAAATGAATAGAAAAAAAGGCTCAATTTTATAGTGTTGTTTGTTTTAATATTTAAAAAATAGGTCCAAACCGAAAAACTGAATTAACCGACCGAGCCGAATTATTAAATTTTGATTCGGTCCTTGTTCGGTTCGATTCGGTTTTCATTTTTAATGTTATTCGATCGATTGGTTTTACATATTTTGAGACCGAACCGAACCGAACCGACCGATGCTCACCCCTAACATTCACCCAGTTTTAGAAATTAATTATGACTTTAAATATATGCATATATGTCATATTAATATTGAAAGTAAATTGATGATAATATTATTAATTATTAATATTAATGACAAATTTGATTTGATAAAATAGGAATTTCTCCCCATATAAAAAAGGGGGATTTCTTTCCTGATGAAGCTGCGAGAAAAGTTTCTTAAATATCTTAAAAGAATTTGCACTATTTTTTGTAATTTTTAATTTTTAAAGGCGAACAATGAATTTTTATAAATTTAAAAGTCTGGACATTAATTTATTTGTTTTTTATTTCATTAATAAATTTGATAAATCAAATTTTTTTTGTATAATATATTTGTATATGAAAAACTAATATTAGATTATTATTATTATTCTTATTTATTTTTTTTGTTATTCCATCGCTTTTTCTTTGTGGCGATAAACGAAGCTACGTCATACATCACACATACGTCTGGGATACTACCTGTGAGGTCTGATGTGTCGAGCAGGCCTAATAAATATAATAGAGATGTTGATGCCTCTTTTATTATTAAAAAAAAAGATAATATAAAAAAGGAAAAGAAATGTTGAGGAGGCATCATCAGAAGTGGGGACCATTTATTTTTAAAAGAATTACAAGAATGACTCAAATAAAATTGTTTGCACATAAAAGTTAATATAAAATAAATTATTATTAAAATAAGAATGTGAGTTGTTTTTTTAAAATGAAATTTGTTATTAGTCTTTTTTTTATAAATAATTTGTTTAAATGATCTTTGAATATATTCTCTTTTTATTTTTTTATCTGTTCAGATTAATGGACCATGCATCATGTTACTCATGTTAATCATGTTGTTTAAGGTTAATGCTTTCTTATCTCTTCCATTTCCCACAACTACCAAAGGGGACTTTAATAATTATTGAAATTAAAATTAAAATTATTTTTTATAATAGATGAACCTTATTATTTAGTTTGAGTGATCAAATTAAAATTCAAATACACACACACACTATAAATCAGACATTTTGTATTTGTCTTAAGGTGTCATTTTCTGTTCTCTTTTTTTTTTTTTTGTCAAAAAGCTTTGCTGTTCTTTTTTCTTTGTGCTAAATATAAATAACAAAAGTAAAAATGGTTATGTTAGCTAAGTACTGAATAACTTTTTGCCTTCTCTTCTCTTTTAAAATTTGACCAATTAAGGAGCTTTATTTGCGTTTTTTGGCCCCTTGGAACTCCATTTATTATTGAAAGGAAATTAAATAAAAATATTTTGGCGGAAAATAGTTGAAGTTATTGAATTTATTTTAGCTGCCTTCATTTCATTTGTGGTCCAGTATATTCAACGGATGACCTTTTCCCACGGTGCTATTTTTGTGTGGAGTGCTTTAATTTAATTTAAATGATATAAATGTATCAAATTATCAACTTCTAAATTTATCAAGCTGAGTATAGCTCTATACTTTGTATGGATTTGAAGATAAATTACACTATTTATAAGTCTTTTTTATGGATTTTGTAGTATGGACAGAATATTATATCATATATAATATATATATATATATATATAGGTATGGAAATGATCTATAGGTAAATGTCTTTTCTCATACTGCACGGAATAGTTAATAGTTATTACAAAACTTCAAACCTTTTTTTTTTTGGAAAGTGCACAGTGCTCGGAAAAGAGTTGTATTTTTTTTTTTTTTCGATTGCTTAGGTATCCACCGCCAGTAACGGTGACTAATACTTTCGCTGCGGGGTCTCCCACAAAGGGGCAAACGGCTAGCCATAGAGTGCTCTCCATTTGCATGAGTGAGGAATCGAACCCCTCACCACATGCTTAAGGGATAGTTGTATTTTTTATGACTTATAAATAATATTTTTTTACAAATTTAATATTTTATATGTTGAACACATGGACATTGATTTTTTTTTTCCTCCTTGTGATATTGATGATTGAAAGACTGTTAGTAAAATTGGCGTGAGGGAGGCATAGCATATCACATGATGGATACCAGCTATAAAGTTGATTGACATGTAAAAGGAGTCTGCAATATTCTTGAATTTCAAAACTTCCTCAACACTTTTCAGCGAGAGTAAAATTCCTTTTCTGATGTTTGAACGCCACTCCAGACAGGGATATATGTAGAAACTGCTCAAAGAGAGCTGAAAGTAGCTTTGTCTCGGATGCTCTGTCCTCTACACTTTCAAAATTCCATTTAAACTTTCCGCTGATGTAAAATTTCTTTTGTGATGTTGGAACACCGAAAATGGAAAAAGTGGGAACCATTCGAAGACAGTCGAAAGTAGTTTGGCCTCTCGCGCTTTCTCCTATAGGTAGCATGCTATTGTGTAATATGCATTGATCTCTCTATCTGTCTCAACCTGCAACTCTGAAAATGCAAGCCTGTGAAAACCAGAATTGCATATGATGGATCAAAAACTGCCTTAATTGTTCACTTTTCTGAGATGTGATTGTGACTATCTGAGCGTATACTAGAATTATATACTTCTTGTCTTGTATATGGATGAGTGTTAGAGTCAATGCTACCGATTTGAAAGGCATTGACGTGGAAAATTCTTAGGTATATTTCTTTACGTTCATATAGTACAAGAAAGAAGCTAATAACCATTCATATATTCCGGAACTTGCAATTAGTGTAGTGCTAATTGTTGAGTACTGTTTCATTCTATTTGCAATTGATGCCTAACAATGTACTACTTGTAAGGCAATTGTTTTATCTTTTAATAAATTCTCAACTTTAAAAGTATTTGCAACTATTTTCACAACTTAATCATAGTAACTTTCTGGTAAGATTAATACAATAAGTATGATGCATGGGAGGGTGAACGCTAGTTCATTAAAATGGATGTGCCAATAGATTTTATCATATGCAATACCGTTGCACTATTTAGCTGTGTATGAAGTGTACGTAAATTTAGTACATTAAAAGTTTGGTTAATGACAGAGTATAATGACATTATTCAATTTATGTATCTACCGATCTCAACTTATGGAATAAGGCTTGTCGTCGTTGTCGTCGTCGTCGTCTAGGACTAGAATGTTTGGTGTACTTCAAAAGTTTTGGCTTTATCTCTCACTTCGATACCTCTTACTGTCTATTGAATCATATCGAATAATAACCCTTGAGCATCCATTGGAGGAGAGGTTTTGCTTTGAAAAACAAATTGCTAATTTCTATTAACCATAATTTCTGATGCTGGCTTCAAATTATGGAACTAATGATCCCTGGTTCAGATTTGAAACATTTTCTTTTTTCTGCCGGTGCAAAGTTATGATTTACTCACAGCCTAAAATTACAGTGACAAGTTTTCGATTTGTGTGTTGGACCAGGTCTTTCTTCTCTGCTTGTTGGCTGGCTGTAGCATCTGTTGGTTCAACACAGTATGCTTTGTTCTGTGCATCAGGAATTTCCCCGTCAATAAACCCCTTGCACTGTCACTTACAGTGGCCTTCAATGGTGTAAGTGCAGCACTCTACACCCTTGCTGCCAATTCAGTAAACCCATCTTCAGATTCAGTGTATCTCCTTCTGAATGCTCTCGTTCCCCTTGTCACTTCAATTGCAGCACTCATTCCAATCCTTCGCCAACCAGCCTTAGAACCTCTACCTCCTGATGCAGTTCATAGGGACTCATTCATTTTCCTAATACTAAACGTCTCAGCCATATTCACCGGAATTTATCTCCTTATCTTCGGTTCATCTACCTCTGATGAAGCAATAGCTCGCTACTTCTTCTGCGGTGCTCTTTTCCTCCTTGTCTTCCCATTATGCATTCCTGGCATTATCTATGCTCGACAATGGTTTCATCGTACCATCCATTCTAGCTTTCGGATGGAAGGCTCACGCTTCATTCTTGTACATGTGGATGATCTTGAGCTTCACAAGGAACTCCTTTCCCGACAGAATAGTGCTATTAGCAATGGAGATTCTCTCGGCTTGCTGAGTGACAACAGTAACGGGTCCATATACCAAAGTCAGAAGGCAAAAGTTAGTGATCCCTGTTGTGAGCATTTGATTGAGAAGGATCAGTTGGTAATGCTGGGAGAAGAGCACCCAGCTTCGGTGTTGGTTCGTAGGTTGGATTTTTGGCTCTACTATGTTGCTTACTTCTGTGGAGGCACAATTGGTCTGGTCTACAGCAATAATCTCGGACAGATTGCCCAATCTCTAGGCCTGAGTTCAAGTACTTCTACCCTTGTCACACTCTATTCTTCCTTCTCCTTTTTCGGCCGCTTGCTTTCAGCGGGACCAGACTATATCCGCAAGTAAGTATTCATATTCTCAATGCTCTCAAATTTTAGTATGTTTTTTATTTTAATTTCTGGGGGAAATTGCGCATTCACCTGCCATCCTTCTCTTTATTTGCATACACCTCTTCGCATCCATTTTATTGTCATATGGTATGCCCCATTGATTTAAAAGGAAATAAGGGTCGTCAAGTTATCACAAAATCTTTACACAGGAATGAAATGGTCTAAAATCCTGAATTCCAAATATTCTCAAATGGTAAAGGACGGAAGTTTGGGGGGCATAAGTTTCCCATGTGTTAGTGTTCTTGGCTAATTTCTATAAAGGGTGATCATGATTTTGCTGTTTTCAGGAAATTCTACTTTGCAAGGACAGGATGGTTAGCCATTGCTCTTATCCCAACCCCAGTTGCTTTCTTCTTGCTTGCTTCATCGGGAAGTTCTCTGGCGCTTCATGCAGGCACTGCTTTAATTGGGTGGAGCTCTGGGTTTATATTTGCTGCTGCTGTATGTATTACATCCGAGCTTTTTGGACCTGACAGTGTAGGAGTTAATCACAACGTTCTCATTACAAATATCCCAATCGGGTCCCTTCTCTATGGCTTGCTAGCTGCGGAGGTTTATGATGCCAATGCACAGACTTCGATGGTTGGAGTAGGAAGCTTAGCAATGTCTGATTCAGTAGTGTGCATGGGAAGGCAGTGCTACTTCTGGACATTTATCACTTGGGCATGCTTATCAATCCTTGGTGTAGCTTCTAGTGTGCTATTATTTCGAAGAACCAAACATGCTTATGAAGCTTTTGAGAGGCACCGTATTTCAACCCAAACGATAGCATCCTGATTTCTGGCCCTGAAGAAACATCAAAGGGCATGGGGTGACTTTTGTATCCATGATTTTGGATGCAGAGACTCAAGCAAGCGGGGATGAGTCTCGATGGACGATCACATTATGCAATTTAGCATTATATTGTAGTCAGGGGATCTAGATTTGGTATGCAGAAAAGGATGATGGTTCAGTTAAACCTCCTCGCCATCTTCCAGAAAGTTTAGACAGCATACTGAAATAGGATTTGAAGCTTTGAATGCGTGAAGCTTGAGGAAACCGTCAATGAAGCAGAATTAAATCTGGAGCTTCAAAAAAGAAGGAAGGGTATTGTCGTCTTTGAATGATGTTTTATGCTAGCCTGATAGTTGAGATGTTGAAGCTGTGGAAGCGCTTTGGCCAGTTTTGCAGTATGTTTGATCCTAATACAATTGCAATGTGCTTCAAGATATGCTTTGGTTAAGTAGCTAACTCTCAAAAACAAAGTCGATAACTTCCATACTTTGCTATTACTACAGGAACTCTGCTATGTCTTACTGTTTCTTTCTGGCTTTGCTTGTTAGACGGGTTCAAGTAAGTAAAATGCATGCTGCCGCATATTAATTATGAAAGCGGCGCAAAATTAGTTTAATAATATCACTCTTTAGAACAGCTATAATTAGTTAAAAATCGCAATATCTCAATGGTGATATTTGATAAAGGGTTAATATATAAATTTATTCCTGAAGTTTGTTCAGAAGTGCAATTGATATTTTAAAATATTTAAAATTATAATGTTGCCCTCAATATTTTTAAAATGTTATAATGTCACCCAGAATAAACAGAAGCAAAACGTTGACTGTTAATTGACCTTTTTATACTTATGTAGCATTCCTAGAAAGCATCCACGTCACTATTTTTTTCCCATTCGGAATAATGCTATTCTTGGGTGGACTTAATGGTAGGTCCCACCAGTTTTGTCATCACCTTGCATCTTCCTCTTTCCCAACCTCTCATCTTCCATCGTCACTGCTGAGTTCAATTTCTTCTTCCTCTTCTTCCTGAAAACCAAATCTAGATCGGTAGCAAGAAGGATTCAAAAAAACATCAATGACTCAGTTTCATCCTCGATTTTTTTACCACCATTGAACAAATCTAAAGAAGCACTTGACCCTATCACTCTCCCTCACCACCATCGAGTCTCTGGGCTCACGATGTTCTTCAATTCGAGCTAGTGCTTCTCCGTCGTTGATTTCATTTTGTTAAGGTTTAGCGTTCATTGATTTTGTTTTTTTTTTCTTGCTCTGATTGGCGTTGCTGCTCCTTGATGCTTAAATCGACCACTGTTGTTGCTTGCTTGCTCAGATCGCTCTTCCTCTTCCTCTCATGGCTTTACCTAAGTTTCTTCTTCTCTCTCTCTCACTTGCCGAGACCTTATTCACCGAGATCCCTTGTTCGTGTTTCCATTTGTAGTTTCTCCTCTCACGCCTAGGGTTTCATTTGTCAAGGCTTCAAAGGGGTATGGATCGTTAACTCTCCTTTCCTTGAAGCAACAAATCTATGCTGGCTGCCTTCCGATTTCATGAGTCTGGGGATCCCATCATTTTGAAGAAGCACGAAGATGTCGATGGACCTTCTTTGGTTGGGTAAACTGCCTCTGGAGGGCAGATTGCTGGTATAATATTGTCGAATGTGTGAATTTGAGATGATGATCTACCTCTGAAGCACAAAGAAATCAATAAATCCTCTATATTTCTCTTTGTAAATTTCTGCTAAATTGATGGAAAAATTTTATTTGCCTTATTCTTGATTTGTTGGGTATTGTTATTTTTTGACTTGGGTCCTTCAATTAGAGCATAAAGGAAAATGATGATGCTGTTGTTTTCCCCCTCATCGTCATTCTCTTCTTGATTTTCTGGGTATTGTTTCTTGATTTGTTGGGCATGGTTGTTTCTTGAATCTGAGCTAAAGGAAGAGCAACAAGACAAGGGCTACTTTGTGTTGTTGAAGAACATCAAGACCTTGTTGCGGGGAAAATGTCAACTTTTTGATTTACTGATCTGGGCAACAAACACCACATGGGCATGTTCCATCTGCAGGATAAGTCAAATTAACGTGTCCACGTTTTGATTTTGTCAATTCAGGGTGACATTACACCGTTTAAAAATGTTGGGGCGCAACATTACCTTTTTAAATACTCTCTATCTCTCAAATTATAAAATATTTTTTTAAAAAAAATTTTCAATCTTAAAATATAAAATATTTTAAAAAAATTAAAGTTTTATTAAATATATCAATTTTAAAATTATTATTTTTTATAATTAATTTTTATCTCTTTTCTTTTCAATATATTAAATAATGAGTATTTTTAAAAGTTTATATTTTTATTTTAAAAAGATAAGATTGTTAAATATATTTAATGAGATTTATTGATATGTAATATTTTATTTAAAAATATTTTATAATTTAAGATGATGGAGATACTTTAGAATATTAATTGTATCTCTAAACAAATTTTAGAGGCAGATTTGTACATTAAGCTTTTAAGAAATCCTTCTTTTATATTAAAACTCAGCCAATAGTAGTTCTAAGTAAAATTTCAGGTAAATCTAGTGCAATTGAAATGTAAGCATACCTCTGGCCAAAAAAAAAAAAAAATTTAAGCATATCATTTGACGAGCAATTAGGCATGTCCAGTCCCTTGGCACGTGGTTTCTTTATCGAGCCTTTTAATGTTTACATTTTCTTGTTATCAAGAGAAAGGCGCAACGAATGGAGGCTGGAAACAAAGGATATCAGATAGTAACCAGTAGCAACAATGGTGATAAATTAATGAAGCGGACCTCGGGAGATGTCCTAAAACACAAGTTGACATGTTGCTTTCATGGATATATATATGAGAAAGGTTTCTTTTTAATTAGAGTAAATAAGTAAATTGACTTTTAAATTATAAGTTTAAAAAATTTGGATCCTAAATTCATTTTTTGTGTAATATTCTCTCAAAATTTTTTAGAACAATGTAATTTGATTATTATCATTAATAAAAATTAACTTTAACAATTAATTGATTATAAAGTGACACAAAAAGAATTCAAAATTTTCATAAAAGTACCAAAAAATTTCTTGGTCATTTTCTGGAATTTCTTGGATCCTTTTCTGAAATTTTTAAACTTCTTTTGTAATTTTTTTGATCAATTAATTGTCAAAGTTAATTCTTATTAATGACATTGTGAATATCGTGTTTTGTCCGAACTTCCAAATGTAAATTAAAAAAAATAAAAAAGCTCAATAGAATTGCATAAATTAAATAAATAAGAAAAATAGGATTTTATAAAAAAAATAATAAAATAATATCTTCATAACTTAAAAAAAAAATCTTTTTTATTGACTCCCCAATCCTTTTATTTTTGTTGCTATCAAATTGAAGGCCCTTAATGTAAATATGAAATCCAAAATAATTAAAAAAAGTTAAAATAAAAGTTGCCTTAATATACTTGATTATATCATTAAGAGGAAAAAAAAAAAACTTTAGTTGGGGCCTATAAAAGAGACAGCATAGAAAAAGAAATAGACCGGAGGGGGGGGGATTGACAAGGGAAATCCTAGAAGGAGACTGCAAAAGGCATTAGTAAGAATTTGAAGGTGTGTGATTTCTTTTTCATTATTCCTCTAGTTTTGCCTGGTGAATGGGTAAAACAAAAAAAACCTTCTTGAGTCAATATCAAAACCTTGTTGAATCCTTTCTCTATGGGCATGGCAGCTGATTATTTGTGGTCTTCTTATTCTTGAACTTCATGTATTCGCTTCTCACCCAATGTTAGCGTCTCGTATTTTGAAGCTTATGTTTCCTACACACATTCTCGGTTTGGACTCGAAATGACTCTTTTTTGTTTGTTTGTTTTTCGGTTCTGTTTGTTATTTATTAATATAATTGATCTTTGTTGTGAGTTTGTCCTAAATTGGCAAGGCACATAGACTCTTTTAATCATCATCTTATACATGAGAAGATGCTGTATCTATACTATCTTGATGTTCACTTTTCCTTTGTTTTATTTTTTTATTCTGTTAAAAGTTGTGAGAATAATGTTATTGCAGCTTATTGTATAGTCTTCTTGATAAAATATTCTTATAATCTACTTATTTTTTTTAAAAAAAATGGTAACCACGAGTGATACTAAATCACTCTGGGTATTCAATACACTGATGAAGTGAGTAATATTGAATCACCGTGAATATCAAATGTCAAAAATTCTAAAAAATATTAAAATTTACCAACATATTTTTAGGATTCATGAGTGATACTAAATCACTGTAGATTAATACAAATATCAAATAAGATACCGTGAATGATACTAAGTCATCGTAAGTATTAATTTTTACACTAAAAGTTCACAATAAAATTACTTTATGGAAAATTCATTTTGAAAATTCTTTTAGAATTTGTCATGAGTGATAATAAATCACTGTGTGCATTTACAACATCAACCGGTGGACTATAAGTGATAATAAATTACTGCAAGTTCTAATATTGATTAGAATTTCCCCTCTTGTGTATTATAAAAAAATAAAAATTAGGTTGTGCTATAAGTGATACTAAATCACTGTAGGTTTTAGCATTGGTTATTTTCCTCTTACCTAAAGGGATTTTCAAGGAACAATTTTATATTTTAAAAAATAATACAACCTAAAATAACATTCTCTTCATAAAATAAATTAATAAAAAAAGTAAAAGAAAACTTAAATAATGATATTTTGAACTATGTGGACTTTGATCCTCATCACAAGGTATATAGACCTTAGGCTTTGATCCTAAGTCAAGTTTTCCTATGTAAATAAATAATTTTTTATCTTTAGTTTGCATGTGATTAAAGGGTAATTAAGATATTATTAAAAGACTAATTAATTTGCACAATCAACTTAGGGTAACCATTCTTATGAACGGATATCATGGGGTGCCTAACAATTTTCCCATACACAATCAACTTTCGAACTCTTTCGCAAACCATCCTTTTTCATCATATGATTTTTCAAGGTTTCTTAAAAACTTTGGTGGCAACTCTCATTTTCTTATATTTTATCGACCTTCCATCTTCAGAAAAGGCATGATCCGGGTGTGATAGGCATAGATTAGATTACACTACTTTCAAAAGTTAAAGAGGAATATTATATAAAAGATGAGTGTAAAGTCCTAAACGCTTCTAGATCTATAATTTTGGATTATTTACTTTTATGTTATGTTTGGATATATAGAGTGACCCAAATCTAAATTCTACTTTAATCTCTTGATAATTTGAAGGGTTAGTATTTAATTTTATCCCTATACTTATTTTTTAGGAGTGATGGTCACTCTATACTCTTGAGCGGAATAATTTTCCTCTAAACTATTTTGTGAGGACAAAAAATGCCCTTCTGTTAGTATGCTGTGTGTAACATCTCAATTTTTTTATCCCAAAATTTAAGTAAAATTAGAATATAATTTATTAAGTAAATTGAGGTTTAGGGTAACTTAATTTATGTTGTCCAAGGTCTAAAGGCACATATGATTATGATTTAATGAAATAGAATATGAAATTGAGAAAAAAAAAATCCTAAGCAAGATAGATTGATTATGATTATTTCTTAAAGCATCAAAGTATAATTTTATGAAAAAGAAGTACAAAATTAAAGGTAGT